AGTCTTCAATCCACTCTCTACTGAGCCTTCCTTTCTAGTTATATCCAACTCTTGTTTATTTTTCTCATGTCTATTTCCATTTCTCGGCGTAATGTGCTCTTTGGTCTTCCTCCTTTCCTTTGGCTTTGATGATTTCCAGCGCTTCTTCCTGATTTCGTCCTCCTCTGGGATCTGGTTTGTTCTTTCCAACGGTAGGTTGTTGCTAATAGTGTCCGGCCAACTCCTCCTGCAGTCTCTCCGGGGGCTAGTGCCGGTCCCAAGCCCGGATAAAGGAGGAGGGTTGGGCATGGGTTTAGCGACCCCATCTCGTAGAAAACTAACTCGCTAAAAAAACACTAACCACAAAAAATTGTTCAAACCATCTAATATATATATCAACGAAAATCGAACCTAGAATTCAGGATGCGCGTCTCGCCCTGCTTTGGAGTCACCAGCTAGATTCACCTACATCCAAGTTGACGTTTACTCTGGTACTCGAAACCACGTTTTTCGAATGCCATCGCGTTATCCATTCAGCTACTGAGTCCAGATAGCCATTAGTTTGTGAGGATTCAAACAAATGATACAAAATGAATTTCCTCTTTTATTCCAAGCATAATTAGGACTTAGAACTTGTTTTTAAAAATACTCCAACCTAATAGTCTAGTACTAATGTCTCTCATTGTAGTACTGAGTGAATCCCTTAGACATCACTAATTACTTAAGAATTATAGATATATCATGTTGATAAATGGGGAATTGAATGAAACCTAATTTCACTGATTCCTTTCAATCACCTTCAACCACTAGCTCAAATGAAAACATAATGTTTACCATCTTATGTTATTTAGATCAGTGGTTGGATCAATAGTCGTCAATCAGCACTGAGGTTTAGCTCAAAAAGATGGAAAGTATTATTATGCAACAAGAAAGGTTAAAGCCTACCCGGTATTGATTTATTTCTTAATAAAACATAGTAAACCGTTATTCTCAATGTTAGACTGATGAAGTTTATCAATCAATCAAGTTATCAGTGTGTGTGCGTGTGGAGGGGTATGGAAATTATTAAATTTCTTGGTGTATTCCACAAACTGATCTTAGTTAGACAATCAAAGATGGGATTCATTCTAATTTTTTCCAACCTCTATATGATCTTTAAGCTGAAGATCTAATCATCTGAAAGTTAGTCCAGTATCTATAAACTACTGGACTAGATTGGTTAAAAATTGAATTGGATTTTTGATACATTCATTCTACTTACTACACAATCGTAAGATTATAAATTATATTCTCTGTAGGTTGGTATGGAAGCTCAAACTGAAGTACATACATACAAAGTTCTACTTTGTTACTGACTGACTAACCGACTGACTATTGGTTGACAGGAGTGTATACGTGGTTATCAATTGTTAATTAGGATCGAAACACCTATCAATCTTTCTTTCATTTTTCACCTCTTTCTTCTCAATTGATGTTAAGTTGTATTGGAATTAATCATCAATAATCTACAGTTTATTGTATATTAGATTGAAGATAAATGAAAGACGAAGGAAAAAAACACCACTGGTGAAATATAATCTTCAGTCACTTGGTATTGTTTACTTTTATATTTCTCATTGCACAATCATGTAGCTACCAGAACTTAGTAGCTAAGTAGATAACGCAGTAGCATTTGAAGCGAACGGTACTGAGTTCGAGACCTGTGGTGCATAGCAACTATGGGATACAGGTACATCCAGCTGACGTGTCCTAAATAGGATGAAATACCCCTCTTACATTCCTTTGCTAACCACTATCTATCTTTGTTTATAATCTACAGTGTTTATTTTCAACTCAGATGTAGATTCTTATGTTGATATTACTGGGCATTATTTTTTTATTTCTAATATATAAAAACAATAAATGAAAACAAATGAATCAATATTCAATTATAATAATCATTTTCCTAGGCTTCTCATTAAAAATTTATTCATTTTTAGATAGTAAGAGTAGTAGTAGTAGTAGTAGTAGTAGTAGCAGTAGTAGTAATATCAGTAGTATGTTTTTCTTTTCTCCCTTTTGTCTTCATTATACAACTAATACATTTTTAATGAAGACTATAATTATCTGGTCAATAATATTGGGATGATGTTAAAATGAATGATTGATTTCGACGTTTTTCCTAAAAGGAAATAGTCTTTCTTATTTATTTCTTTGTAAGACTTTATTAGTTCCTCCCCCCCTTCATTTTTACTTTTCCTTTGTTGATACTAATTGACTGTGATGGAGTTTTATTCTCTGAGCTGGATGATTTGGTCGTGGAGATTTCATCGTTCTTCTGAACGACATCATCCTCAGCACAAACTTCAGATAGAAGTGAAATGTTCGAATTTCTCCATTAGTGTTTCACAGCTTGTTCTGTACACCTCGATATTGATTGGTTCTTATTGACGATGAAAGCTATACGACTAAACCATCCAGATCAGAGAACAAAACTCTATCAAAATCATCCAGCTGAGCTACAGATCTTCTCCTTCATCTCATTAACTGACTGTAATTAATCCATTCTATTGAATAAGTGAATAGTGATTTGAACCACACACACAGAGATAATTGATATTCATGGATAATTTCTATCATTAAATTATGTCAAGTGCAAAATTATTGATTGTTCATAGGTACTAAGTAATTGATTCGTTTTAGTTCAAGACTTCTCAGCAGTATGAACCCCGTAATCATACAAAAGACTCAATTCAACATATTCATATCCCTTAATGACCATAGTACAACCAATCTACTGAGTAGGAATCAAATAAGGAAAATTTTCTCATTTTAACTGACTTATTAATGTAGAATGATCCTCATTCAATGTCTCATCATTTCTAGTTAGTAAATAGTTACTACTTACTTACTTACTTACTACTGTTACTCCTCGTGGAGGAATATCGGCCACCCACGAACATTCTTCATCCAACTCTGTCCTGTACAATCCTTTCCAGTTGTTTTCAGTTGATATTCATTCTTTTGATGTCTGCTTCCAATTCTTGACGCAGTATGTTCTTTGATAATCCTCTTTTCCATTTCTCTTCAGGATTTCAAGTAAGCGCTTGCTTTGTGATGCAAATTGTTTGCTTGTAGTTCTTCTAAGGTTATTACTGCCGATCCCAAGCCCGAGTTAAGAAAGAGAGTTAGGTATAGGGTCAGCAATCCCAGTAAATAATAGTACTTACATAACTCAGAGACCTTTTTAAATTTTAGAATTCATTGAATACTTTTGTAACATTGGCATTCATAAATGATGGAATTGAACTGTTTCTTTATACTATAGACATTGTCTTCAAAACTTTGATCAGTTTCATTTGTCTTTGTATCCTCGTTGACTGTCTTTTTTGGTTGGTTTCTGTCAATTTGATTGGTTGATTTTTGTAATGTAGATTGATAAATATGATCTACGTCTAAATGTCTATTTCATTCATTGAAATAATGAGTCAATTCAAGCTAGACCACCATGGAAAACGTGGAATTACTGGACGGCCGTTTCATCCTAGTATGAGACTCCTCAGAAGTGCGTTTCCACGATCCCGAACCCCGCGAGATTCGAACCCATGACCCATCAGTCTCGCGCCAGACACTTAATCAACTAGACCACTTAGCTGGCATTCAACGGTGTTAATGTCTAACTTCAACCAATCCACGAAGTTGCTCCACCGCGCCTGGCGCGAGACTGATAGGTCCTGGGTTGGAATCTCTCGGGATCGTGTATGTGCACTGCTGAGGAGTCACATACTAGGATGAAACGGTCATCCAGTGCTTCCAGGTTTTCCATGGTGGTTTGGCTTCAATTGTCTCATGATTTCAATCAGTGAAATTTCTAAAATCTCCACAAAACCCCTTCTGATAAATGTCTAATGTTTGAAGATTGATTTAAATAGTATACTTCCAGAAATCTTTTGAGAGATTTTTTGAATACTTTCTATTCCGTCTATTGCTTAATTAGCATCCATAAAAAATGAATAATTCTGTAGGATATCTATAGTTTAAGATATGGGTGTTGGACATGTTAAAGTTGGAAAGGTATAACACAAAATGTCAATTGAATGATCTAAACCTAATGATAATTGCAAATCTATATTTAGTTCCTGACAAAGTTGTAATGTTTCTAACTAAAATAAGTAAATGTTCATGAGTCGATTAAAGCTAGACCACCATGGAAAATGTGGAAATACTGGAAGGCCGTTTCTTCCTAATATGAGACTCCTCATCAGTGCACATCAATGATCCCACTCGCGCAATTTGAACTCAGAACCCTCGGTCTCGTGCGCGAACGCTTAACCTCTAGACGACTAAACCGACATCCAACGGTATTTATTTGTTTAAACACATAAACGTTGGTACAAAGAGACACCAAATAGATATGCGTCACATAAGTCCTCCGATTTATGTGAGGACTGTGATACTGCTCGGGTGCCAAAACCAAACCAGTTGGTTTTCTTAGAGCGCCACTCCTCCAGCTTTCGACATAATGGTCTCATCCACAAGGCACTGGAACAACATAACGAGATACAGTCACATGGTAGCTGATGACCAACAATAGGTTCATAAACCATTCATTTTCTTAGGATCCTGGAGTCCATGTGCACCATTGGTTTGGAATCGGGGTTTTCCAACTTTCCTAGGTGAATCCTTCATATCCACCGACCCAGTTAAAGCGCTGGACATTCGCTTTTCGTCTTCTCAATTTCGTAGACAGCACCTCCGTCACGAGAAGGCAATGAGTAAGACTCTCCTGTCAGTGGTTTAATGCATGTGACCACTTGGGAGCATTTCAAGAGAGAGAGCTCAATTTATCCACTCTCGGCTGTACCAGGGGATTTTGGGGGTAAACGGTGTTAATGTCTAACTCCAACCAATCCACAAAATTGAGTCATCATTACTTAGTAAGTATCTAGTTAAAATTACTCTTTGATATACATTAACTTCTATTTATTATACATTGACTATTGCCTTTACATTCTATGCTTCGTTTTTCTTAAAAAATTCAGGCACTATTAAACTCTGCATTTAAGGATCAATTGGCTGAATTAACACGAAAATTAGGTGAAATTGAAAAACGCCAAGTTAGTTTAAAAGTCCTGTTAATAGTTTCTATTCAAATATTAACATAATTCATAATTACTATCGTATTAAATGTAATTTGTGAAGTGAACAAAATCAATATAACGGTCTAATAATACACATGGATTGAATTCACTTGGTACTGTTTATTTGAATCTTCCCATTGTTGCTTAAGGCTACAATTGATCAGTCTCTTATCGACATGCGTGCATACTGTGCGCATTGCCTTAAGTCGCAAGCATTGTGAGCAAAGATGGATAGTGGTTAGCAGTTGAATCAAGGACGCACGTTTCGTGCTATTTGGTACGTGCATCCAGAGTTGATGTTCACTCTGGGACTCGAACCCAGTACCGTTCACTTCAAACAGTTCCAGTACAGTTTCCAGAAAAAAAAACTTATAACATCGCTTTAATTGATTGAAAAACACAATGTTATCGTCGTTTACTTCTTTTTAATGAAGACTTTATGCAATGAATGGATAAGTAAATCTTCATTCCTTCTCATCTTTTCACTGAACGCTAAATAATCATATTGTCAGTGATTCATAGAATGATAGAAGTTTCTATTGTGTTTAATGCTGATGTTGTCTAACTCCATTATAATCAGATGATATTGATACAAATAAAATAAATGTTATCTTATTTGAACATCGATTCTAGAATGCAGGTACATCCAGCTAACGAGCCCTAAATAGGACGTAATGCGCATCCTCGATTCCACTGCTAACCACTATCCATCTTTGCTTAAAAATAACTTTGTATATGTTCTGTCAATTATACACCTTTAGAATAACAGTTTATCAAAGAAAATCGAATATGAATTACATTTAGGATGCACACATTCCATACATGTTAATGTTGATAAGCAAAAACGAAAGATGCTGAGATTATATAATGTATTGGAGTTCGATTATACACCGACTTAGAGAATAGTAAGCTGACTTCCTTTTTCATAACCATCGAAGAAATACAGGAAGCAGAGAGAGATCTATGTATCATGATATAGAAATGTAAAACATGATCAAGGTAACCTGTGAGTAATTTGACAAGGTCAAATATATGATTGACAATTAATGAAAAGATAAAGATAATTTACCATCAGTTTGGAGTTGTGGTTATTGTCAGATTTCATAGAAATCATGAACTGACCAATGTTAGACCAACGTTGAAAACCTAGAAACACTGGACGACCATCTCATCCTAGTATGGTGATCCTCATCAATGTGCACTCACGGTCCCGTACATGGGGCCTGGACCCAAAACCTTCAGTTTTGTACAATAGAGCTTAACCTCTAGATAACTGAGCCGGCATCCAACAGTGTTGGTGTCCAACTGAAGAGTTTCATGCTATAATCCATCCAGTGTTTCCAAGTTTTCAATCGTGATCTAACTTGAATCGAATCGTGAATTCAACCATGAAAAAACTACAACCTCCACAAATCCATCAGATCCACCCTGTTCATCAATGATGCTGCCCAAATATGTAAAAGTTTTTACATCTTCCAAATCTTCTCCGTCAATTGTGGTTGGCGGAGTTAAGTTTAATTTATATATATATATATATATATTAAACTTAACTCCGCCAACCACAATTGACGGAGAAGATTTGGAAGATGTAAAAACTTTTACATATTTGGGCAGCATCATTGATGAACAGGGTGGATCTGATGCAGATGTGAAGGCGCGGATCGGCAAAGCAAGAGCAGCATATCTACAACTAAGGAACATCTGGAACTCAAAGCAACTGTCAACCAACACCAAGGTCAGGATTTTCAATACAAATGTCAAGACATTTCTACTGTATGGGGCAGAAACTTGGAGAACTACGAAAGCCATCACCCAGAAAATACAGGTGTTTATTAACAGTTGTCTACGCAAAATACTTCAGATCCGTTGACCGGGAGTTATTAGCAACAACCAACTGTGGGAAAGAACAAACCAGATCTCAGCGGAGAAAGAAATTAGGAAGAAACGCTAGAAGTGAATAGGACACACATTGAGGAAAGCATCGAAATGCGTTACAAGACAAGCCCTCACATGGAATCCTCAAGGACAAAAGAGAATAGGAAGACCCAAGAATATATTACACCTAGAAATGGAGACAGATATGAGAAAATCGAAGAAGAATTGGATGGAACTAGGAAAGAAGGCCCAGTAGAGAATGAGTTGGAGAATGCTAGTCGGTGGCCTATGCTCGATTAGCAGTAACAGGCGTAAGTAAGTAAGTAAGTAAATTAATTAATTAAACTTATCACAATTGTATTATTACTATTCTTATTACTTTCTTTTTATGCTAAAGAATCAAGAAGCAGCTCTTTTACAAAATGTTGTTCATATGGATGCATTACGTGGTTTAGTATTTTGGCATACATTAGGCAAATCAATTACTGGAGTAGATTATTTAACTGCTTATTCACAAGTCAATACTACTAACAATAATAATGGTAATGGTAAATCACATCATGTCAATACTACTGATAATAATCTAATGAAAGAGGAATCAAATCGTTTAACAAAGTGTTTACCAGAAGAATTTGTAAGTTAATATTTTATTCTTTATAGAATTGCATCCTTGATTTTGACATTGATTATAATGAATGATTGGTTGCTATGTTGGTTTTTTTTATTTCTCTTAAGTAATTCATTCCCCCTTTTTCATTTGAATTTCAACAAACTACTTTGAAAGTCGGTTATTTTTAATACAAAAAAAGACCACTGAGCCAGCATCCAATGGTGTTAATGTCTAACTTCAACTAATCCATGAAATTGAGCGTCTGTTGTGAGAAAGTAACTCATTGAAGACAATGTTAAATATGTCGCCCAATGTCATGAATTAGTTGAAGTTAGACATTAACACCGTTGGATGCCAGCTCAGTGGTCTATAGGTCAAGCTGTCGCGTGTGGAACCGATAGGTCCTGGATTCGAATCTCGAGGGGTGTGGGGTAGTGGATCCGCACTGCTGAGGAGTCCTACAGTAGGATGAAACGGCCATCCAGCGCTTCCACGTTTTCCATGGTGGTCTAGCTTCAATTGACTTATGATTTCAACTATTAAAAAAGACTTAGTAACAAAATCCCTTTTATCACGATTGTGAAACATGAGTTCGGTGTTCATCTTGTTGTACTAATGGGGTATAGTAATTTGGACCGATACATTTATGAGTCTGCTCCTACGTTGTAGCTGGTTGACTGGCTGACTGAATCATGATAGATTTATGATAATTAACTGATATATACGTGATATCCCTTTTCAATAAATAGAAAATTTGAAGTTCCGACTATTTTGCGACTTCATGTATGTCATCTCATCAATGAATAAACAAATAACCAAATTAAATAGACACAAATTTTAATAGCACGAAGCAGCAAAACAAATAAATATTTAGTATCAGCAGAAGAGGGTTTTGTGGATATTATAGTAACTTAATAGTTGAGTTCATGAATCAGTTGAAGCTAGACCACCGTGAAAAACCTGGAAGCACTGGACAGCCGTTCCGTCCCAGTATGACACTCCTCATCAGCGCAAATTCATGACCCGGCTCACGGGATTCGAACCGAGAACCATCGGTCTTGCGCGCGAACGCTTAATCTCTAGATGACTGAGCCGGAATCCAACGGTGTTAATGTCTAGCTTCAACCAATCCACGAATATATTTACTACACTGGGGGAAAAACAGACTTGGCCTTGCTAATGTCATGTTCATTCCTAATTAGACGCAAAAATTCTTGGTTGTTAGGCACTATATCAAAAGAAATAATGAAGTGATAATAATATGTGTTCTTATGAAAAAGATAAAATAATGAATAAGATCATCTTGCAGTGAACAAGCACACAAGAGGAGTTAATGGAATGTATTCAAACACACAATAAACAGAATATCTTAGAGAAATCTAAGAACCATACAGTAAATACATCATTTGCAAAATGTTCATCAACTCTCAACAAACTTTATTATTCCTTCATTTCCAATACCAATCAATTCCTGTTATCGTTCTTTTCTCTTCGATCTTTTCAACATTAGTACTTATATCTGCCATCATCAGTACCATATACACTATAGTATTGTTTAATCATATCTGTCTTAAGATATAGAATTCGATGATTAATTAACTTTCATATCAACGTAAACAATCTTTCACTGATTGAAATCATGAGTCAATTGAAGCTAGATCACCATGGGAAACCTGGAAACACTGGATGGTCGTTTCGTCATATTGTGGGACTCTTCAGCGATGCGCATCCATGATCCCACACCCTGCAAGATCCGAACCCAGGACCTATCAGTCTCGCTCCAGGCGCTTGACCAACTAGACCACTGAGCCTGCATCCAACGGTGTTAATGTCTAGCTTCAACCAATCCACGAAGTTGCGCCACCGTACACTATTGTCTTCAGTGAGTTGATTTCTCACAATAGACCTGGTTGAACTCTACTGGTAACGGCTTCTCACAGGAAACTCCAGGAGTATCTCTTGAAGTCAGTCACTCGTGAGCAGATGATTATTATCAGAAGAGGTTTTGTGGAGATTTTGGAAATTTCACTGATTTAAATCATGAGTCAATTGAAGCTAGATCACCATGGAAAACGTGGAAACATTGGACGGCTGTTTCGTTCTAGTATGGGACTCTTCAGCAATGCGCATCCACAATCTTAATTTTTGTCTTCTTCGAATCTTTAAGCCCTACTAAATATCACTTGATTATACATATATATCTTACGTCATACAAAGGAATACCAACAATTTATAAGATAATGTTAATCACTAAAAATAAACGATTCCATCCGACGTGTATAGATCAGTAGACAAAAAAGGGTGTATGTATGTAAACAAAAGAGAAAGAAAAAAATTTTACAAGTAATTACAAAACAATTATACGATTTCAATGGTTAAGATCATAAGTCAGTTGGAGCTAGACCACCATGGAAAACATGGAAGCACTGGACGACCGTTTCGTCCTATTGTGGGACTCCTCAGCAGTGCGCATCCACTACCTACCCCCCTGCGAGATTAGTACCCAGGGCCTACTAGTTTCGCTGGCTCAGTGGTCTAGTGGTTAAGTTGTATTCAATATCTGTTAACATATATATGTGCATATGTTTGTATTGTAACTGACAATAACAAGAATGTACAAATGATTTATGATCTGTTCTCTTATGTTTATAATTTTCACTGTGGTATTTCTTCTCCATAGTTTTTTTTATTTTTTTTTTGATGTTTATAGTTAAAGACTAACTAAGGTATTTGTTAATTATACAAATATTTACATGACATTTAAATGATGAATGTTCGTTTTTCCGACATGAATAAACAAGATTGAATATTAAAGATCACTAGAAATCTTATATATTTTTTAATATTTAAGATCATGAATCAGTTGAAGCTAGATCACCATGGAAAACCTGGATGCAGTGGACGGCCGTTTGGTCCTATTGTGGGACTCCTTGGTGACTGACTTCAAGAGGTATATCCTGGAATTCTGGTGAGAATTAGTGACCAGTGGAGCCCGATCAGGTCTGTTGTGAGATAGTAACTCATTAAAGACAATGGTAAATGTGTCGCTCACTTTCGTAGATTAGTTGAAGTTAGACAATAACACCGTTGGATGCCGGCTCAATGGGCTAGTGGTTAATTGCTTCGCGCACGAAACCATTAGGTCCTCAGTTCGAATCTCGCCGAGGGCGGGGTCGTGGATGCTTACTGCTGGGGAGTCCCACGGTAGGACGAGACGGCCGTCCAGTGCTCCCAGGTTTTCCATGGTGGTCTAGCTCCAACTGAATCATGACCTTTACCATTGAAATTACCATAATATCCACAAAACCCATCTGATATATATATATATATGTTTAGATAATCTTGTTTTAAATGAGATCATAAACTGATCAATGTTAGATTATCATTGAAAATCTGGACGAATTAGATGATCGTTTCATCCCACTATGAAGCTCCTCAGCAGAGAGCATACACGAACATGTACGTGGAATTTCTGAGGAGTTCTATGCTGGAACGAAATGGCCGTCAAGTGATTTTAGGTTTTCAATAATAGTTTAACATTGATCAGTTTATGATCTCAATTATAGGTAGCCAACTAGATTTTAGACTGGAGTCGGTTAATCTATACACTGATATCAACTCATTAAAAGTTATATGTGAGCTGTTGTGTTACATGGAAACATGATCATTATGCTTATGCCTGATGATCTAACAACAACTTTTCAGTGAGATAAAATTTACATCTGTCAATATTCTAGCTAGTAAATGAAAGCTATCGAATCTGATATTGATTTTCTTTCCAGATTCGTAGCAAAAGTAATCCAATTGAAGCTCGTTATGTGATTAAGTCAGTCCAAGATTATGGAATCAGTTGACCTGAATTCACATTCCTAACACGGATTCGTAATAATATGAAATCAAAGTATTATTTAGTAAAACGATACGAAATAAATATATATGATCAATTTGTTTATTTTCTGTTTATCCATCATCTAGCTTGAATGTCCAGATCCGGATCTATCGTCTACACTTCGAAAACTTGGAAATGTAGCCTCTGGATTTGATTCAGTAGTTAATCGAATTGAACAACTTGAAGTAAATACACTTAAAGTTTTACTAGTGTTTTTATTTTATCTTCGTTTTATTTGTTATTACTAATTTTACTACTTATAAGTAGTAACTCAACTATAGAGTACTTTAGCGACAATTTCACTTTCTACTAACCAGATTATTAACTTTTCCTAAACGAATAATACAAATGACCTACATCCATGACCGGAAGTTCTGATAGTGAATGGTCAACACAAATCCAACTAATCACCAATAGTCAATCAGAACATGAAAAGAATAAACTGATTTACGTTGTACATTCTACGAATGAATAACTCATCATAACTCATCGGTGGCCTGCTTGAATATCTGGGCTACCTGTTCCTCCCATCTAGATATCTGTTTTCTGGTTTGTTTTAACACATCATTATGTATATTGAGCTCACAACCTATTCAGGCTCATTTATGAAAAGCTTACAACCTTTCGCTATACGGGTTACAAAAAGGTACAATCAACGACAACATGGTGGATGGCAATATGCACTGAAACGAATGAACATTATTCAGATGTCGATTACCGAACTCCTAACATCTAATTGGCCACCACTCAATATTTGTCGACCATTTGGAGGTGTGAATATTCAATCTTACTGATTATTCTAGTATATATTACGTCAGTGTTGTATTTCTTTCAAAAGAATAGTTTATTTTTAATGATTTAACTGATAAGATGTTTATCAAAAGACGGTGAGATCTTTGAACGACGCCAAAGTGATATTGAGAGTGCTTATCTACTTACTAGGACTAAATGTCGGTTATAAAGCAGTTTAAAGAATACGGATTAGGATTCATAGTTGATGGTTATGGTTAGGAATTCAAATTTATAGTTTTTCATCATGAATTGACATCAGCTATAATGTCAAACTGTTATTTAACCAATTGAATGAATTTCGCGCCAAAATCCAAGATCTGCTATCTCAAATCTGATTGGTTCACCCATAAAATGTAGTCTTGCACAGAATCAACATTATTATACACCAATAAAATAACTTTCATCTTCACATTATTCACAATAAATAACTGAACAGTAATGGTAGAGATAATCAGTAATCTTGACAAGCTAAACTCTATCATCTGTGGGAATCATCAAACTGAATTAATATAATCAATATTGAATGGAAACTAGACTGTTTGAAGTGTATCATTTGATAGCTTAATGTTAGATTGTTACCTAGAAAATGTTAAAATTAAACTCCAAGAACAAAGCAAAGATGGATAGTGACTAGCAGTGGAATCCAGGACGCGCGTTTCGTCCTGTTTGGGGCTCTTCAGCTGGATTTACCTGTATCTCAGAGTTGATGTTCACTCTGGGACTCGGACTCAGTACCGTCATCGCGTTATCCACTTAGCTATTGAGTCCTGATAGCCACTTGCTTGTGCTATGGGGTGAAGTTTAATCCACTTGTTATTGTTTTACTTGAATCTTCCCATTGATGTTTTAGGACTGAAATTGATCAGCCTCTTATTGGCATATGTGGACATCAACTTTGTGATGGAGGTACATCCAGCTGACGAGTCCCATGCAGGACGAAACGCGCGTCCTGGATTCCACTGCTAGTCACTATCCATATTTGCTTATAATGCTTGTAAATTAAGGCAATATCGAGGCATACGCACAGTATGCACATATGCCAATAAGAGACTGATCAATTTCAGTCCTAAAACATCAATGGGAAGATTCAAGTAAAACAGTACCAAGTGAACCAAGAAGAAAGAATTGAAATTATTCAATACTGGTGGAGAAGATTTGTACCGATGATGTCATTCAAAAGAATGATGAAAGCTCCATGACCAAACCATCCAACACAAAGAACAAAACTCCATCAAAAACTATTCAGTACTTCACACTGAGAATATCTTTTACGTAATCGATGCCAACAACAATACTAGTATAGTCCATCTTTCATTTTATTGAATCTGTTGAATAGTTTTAATAATGAATTAAGTAACTTCGTGTGATGAATATAAAGAGATGTTTATGGATTTGTAGTGTGGCGTCGAGTTGCGGTTGACTATGATCACCACTACAAGAAGGTTGCGTACCAGATATCAGAAGGTGATTGGAGGTTGTAGCGAGATATATTTGTTGGCGATCTCGTGGTATCGAAAGAATATCGAGATCGTGCCAAAGGAGTACAGGCCGAATCACTGAGCCAACGTAAGTGCGTGCAAGATCACAATCAACGGAAGCAAGTATGTCTTTAGTACAGTTAAACAAGCAAGTACAATAAAACAATCACTGGTACAATTGGTTATAATAATAATTATTTCCATTAAACCAATCGCATTCTCTTGATAAAAGTACGTCACTACAGATCTATGGATGATCTTGATACACTGGATGCGACTAGAAACATGTAGTTATCCGATCAAGATATAACACACAATTGATTGTTATTCTGGAACTTTCTATTGGGTTCCTACTCACCAATGAATGGATGAAGTGTTTTCAACGTTATCCTAGATCCTAAAAAGAACGATCAGAAGCTAGTAACATTTAATAATTAGAAACAACCAATTATGTTGACTTTGATTATTTTCTTTTGAATACTAAGAAGGCTTTAAGAGCAAATAATAACAGGTAAAGACTAACGCAAATGACAACAAGAAACTGTAATGTTAGTCAGTCCAAGGCAATCTACAATAGGGTCTTGCTTTACATAGTGTTTTTGTGTTAATTGGTGTTTATATGGAATGTGTTTCTTTATTCCATTCGGATCTTACATGAAAATGACAGCTTTAATAGCATGAAAACTACATGAAGTAGGGATTCTTTCCAACCGTTTTGAATTATCTAACATCATTACTCATTGATAACGTGTCTATGATAATTTCCACCTTACTAATTCAAATGAAGATCTATTACCAACTGGATACTTTCCCAAAATGTTCTAGTAAGGCAGAGAGTAAGAGGAGTCCACGATCCCTCGAAAAATGCTCTCATATGGTCACATGTATACAACCACTGTCAGGGAAGTCCTACTCACTGCCATCTTGTAGAAGGGGTATTTACACGAAATTGAGAAGACGAAAAGAGAATGTCTGGGACTCAAACCGAGTTGGTGGTTATGGAGGATCCATCTAGGGAATTTCGGAAACCCCACTTTCAACTCCATGATATTCATAGACTTCAGGATCGTGAGAGAAAAATATGGCGTATGAACCGATTGCTGGCCGTCGGCTACCATGGGACTGCATCTCCTAACGTTACTTCACTGCCTTATCGATTAGATTTAATAAATCACCTGTTTCGGTTTAAGCACCCAGGTAGTATTACGGCCCTGGCACAAATCAGTTAACAAACTGTGGTGCATATATATTTGGTGCCCATATGTACCACTGTTTATGTGTTTAAATAAAACCAACTGAATAAACTAATCCACAAGCAGGTAAAGTCAAAATATTACCGTTCGTTAACTTAAATCCAATAGCATGATAAGTTTAAAAAGTACACATAATAACTTGTGCATTTGTTAAATCGTTAAGAACTGACATGCTTTGTGTCTGAATGTTTATATATCAACTTCTTAACTGTTTTCTAATTCCTAGAAGTATTCTACTCTTGAAGTTCCGACTAGAAAGAGTTTTACTATCAAGTTTAATTCATATATGAAAAGAGGCTTTTCAAAAATATAACGAAATTAGTCATATCATTGATTAACATTTCATTCAATCAGGTTAATGATAGTATAATCCATCATTTCTCTTTGAGAATTCTTTTAGAAGTTTCTGAAGAACTAATATCTCTTGAAGTATTTCTCTTAATATATTCCTCATTACTGAAAACTTTGGCGCGACTATAATTTATGAATGAACCAATCAGATATAAGCTAAAGAGTTAGGAATTTTGGCGCAAAATTCATCCATACATTTGACTAAATAGAGTTTTAGTATTATAGCTGATATCAGTTCGTGATGAAACCCCTAAATCTAATTTTTAACCCTAACCGTCAACTGTAAATGAGAATCCTAACTCCTTTATAATCATCATTTAGTTCTAATCTGTAGGTGTCCACTCTCAAAGTCACTTCTTCGTCACTCAAGGAATTACCTAGTAATAATCTTCATAATCAATTACGCTAGCAATTAAACTGAATAAGGAATAAATAAAAATTTGAACCATCCAAAATGATTATCTTCTTTTTCATGAAGTTTTGTTCTCTGAGCTGGTTGGTTTGATCTTGGAGTTTTCATCGTCTATCTAAAGTTTGTACTGATGATGTGGTTCAGAAGAGCCGATGAAAGCTCCAAAACTAAACCATTCAGCTCAGAGAACAAAACTCCATCAAAATCATCTACCTGACCTACAAATCTTCTTCATCATGATTATCTTCATTAAGAGAAAAGACAATGCAAGTTATGCTGGATAGAATATAGATTAACGTTTAACATTGTGTTGCAAAAACATTCGGAGATTGTTCGTCAGTTATTCCTAGGTGACACTGAACAAATCGATAAAGAGTATGATTAAAACAAAAAAATGTATGTAAAATATTCTAATGAAAAGTACCATATGTGAATGTTTTGTCACGTATGATCAACATTTTGTTAATGAGTTAGTATAGGTGGCTTGTTTGAATATCTGGTCTACTTGTTCCTGTCATTTAGATATTTCAACAAGTTGTTTCTGTTTGGTTTAACATATCATTATGTTTGTTAATCAAGTAACCTATTCCAGTGCATTTGTGAAAAGTTTACAATATTTTACTGTACAACTTACAAAAGAGCCTATTCAGAGACATCGTGGTTGCTGGTAATATATAGCGAAAAGAATGTACATTATTTAGATGCCAGTTGACTGGACTGCTAACTTCTAATTGGCTATCACTCAATATTTATCGTTAAGATCTATCAAGAAATAAAAAACAGAAGCTTGTTTAAATACTTTGTGCTGATAGTTCTATGTTGTACCAAACTCTGCTACATTAAGAATAATAGTTTGTCGCACATAAGAAGAGAGCAGCCTTACTTACTTCTGTTACTCCCAATGGAGCATAGGCTGCCGACCAGCATTCTCCAACCCACTCTCTACTGGGCCTTCTTTTCTAGTTCCATCCAACTGTCGTTCATTCTTCTCACGTCTATCTCCATTTCTCGGCGTAATGCCTTCTTTGGTCTTCCTCTTTTCCCTTGGCCTTCAGGGTTCCATGTGAGGACTTACTTTGTGACGCAGTTTGGTGATTTCCTTAATATGTGTTCTATTCACTTCTATACCAATCAAGGTTTATATATGTTACGTAATTTGACATGGATCAAATTGACTTAAGCATAGAAAGTGATTTTTCCTATAAAGGAAACTATTATTTAGGAAACCAATTTCTTATTTTAGATCTCTGTTCATCAAGATACAGATTTAGAAAAGGTTAGTTAATGTACATACATGTGCACACATCCATAAACGGAATGTTTTATAACTTACATGCACACAATCACCAATATATATTATTGTACCTGGCACTACGTTATAGCTGACTGACTGACTGACCATCTTTCTTATTACTGTCATTATTGTTGTAATCTTTTGTTGTAAATCATTTGTGTCGTTTTTCATATAACAGCTATTTGTCTTGAATTGACATCAGTTTGAGTGTGATTAGAAATCTCGGCATATTGGATATTTGTTTGACTCTGTTTTACAACCCTATCAGTGTATACCCGAAACAATACTAAGTGTGGTGCATGCTACTTATATTGATATAAGTAGTATATTATTGCAAGTCAGGAATGTAATGTCTGGCAGCAGAAGATGGGCGAAGATCAACAAAGTAAGGGTGGGAATAGAATGCAAGTTGTATGAAAATGTAAAGACAATGAAGTCTGAGGCGTTTTAAGACAATTGGTGGACATTTTGCAAATTAATGACTGAATATATGGTTCTGAGATTTTATTGAGATGCTCTGTGATTTTGTGTCAGATACATTCGATTGTCCTCACCCGTGTTCTGTTCACTACAAGAGAATCAGAACATCTAGTCTCGTAGCAAGAATGTTACCGTTTAAATCAATGAGTTGGAATCTAGCGGTCTACATTGATAACTTGAATCATTATATGCTTGTAAATCGAGTTAGTATCACGAATGAAAAGCTTAAAGATGGATGTCTAATGTTCTAGTAAGAAACTAACAGGATTCAGTAATGACATTGTGTAATGGTTATGCAATGTTGTAAACTGATTGGAATTAAGAGTATAAGTCATAGGATATAAATTTAATGATCTGACATTAACAAGCTCCCTACGAGACATGGAAGTTTCATTTCCAACTCCTAGCAGTGTCTTAGGTGCACACTCTAGGAAAGGTTCTAACAGGAACAAAGTAATTATCAAGTCCTTGTAAACCGAGTAAACATCAAATAGCATCTATCTGTGAATGAAATCACTTGTAAATTAGAGAAGCATCCAAAAAATCTTTTAAATTATTAAGTGACAAAAGAAAAGTTGGATAATAACACAATCAACCGACTATTGAGAATGGAACAATTGAATTCTGTTATTTAAACCATACATTATGTAATGGTTCATGGTTTTAATGATGCTCAACTATCATCAAAATCCCGTTCTGACATTTATCACGTGCTTAGTAGTGACTAGTTTTGAGAGGTAATTTTCTTAGTTCTAGTGAAGAGACATAACTAGTGGAGCTAGATTATATCGAATGTGAGGCAAGTATTCATCGAAGATAACGAAAGACGGTCACGAATTGTTGTGGACTGATTAAAGTTAGACAGTAACACTATTGAATGCCGGCCCAATGGTCTAAATGTTAAGCGTTTGCACACGAAACCAAAAGTCCTTGGTTTTATTCCCTGTGTGCAGGGTTGTGAATGTACAGTTCTGATCAGTACCATACTAGGATGAAATGGCAGTTCAATGGTAATCTAACATTGATCGGTTCATAATATCAATGAATTCCAACAATCTCCACAACCTCATACTAAAAATAAATGTTGCCTCACGGCAACTTGAAACACTAGTATTAGACTGGATAATACAACTGAGCACATGATCGAAACACTTAAATACATAAGCCTGACCTGCAATTAAAAAGTATCGGAAGGGGTTTTGTGGATATTATAGTAAGTTTAATAGGTCCTGAGTTCGAATCTTGCAAGGCGCTATCGTGGATGAGCACTGCTGAGGAGTCCTTCAATAGGACAAAACGGACGTCCAGTGTTTCCAGGTTTTCCATGGTGATCTAGCTTCAATTGACTCATGATCTCAACTATTAAAATGAAAAAGTAGACAGTCGTTTATTAACAGAATGAAGAATTCAGAGTACAATAAGTGATTTAATGAAAATAATAATGTGAGAGACTTTACAATATTGTGTACTGTCTCATACATATGCATATTTCGTCTCTCTCATCAACCAATCAAAGCTCCCTATTACTTGAAACATTAAACCGACCAAGAAAAAACAATCGACAGTTTAGTCATTCATATCACAAATGTTGAATGTTCACAAGTTAACCAACGTTGATGAATATTAAATTCATCATTGAAAGCAATCACTAATTACTATCTATCTATCTATCTATCTATCTATCTATCTATCTATCTATCTATCTATCTATCTATCTATCTATCTATCTATCTATCTATCTATCTATCTATCTATCTATCTATCTATCTATCTATCTATCTATCTATCTATCTATCTATCTATCTATCTATCTATCTATCTATCTATCTATCTATCTATCTATCTATCTATCTATCTATCTATCTATCTATCTATCTATCTATCTATCTATCTATCTATCTATCTATCTATCTATCTATCTATCTATCTATCTATCTATCTATCTATCTATCTATCTATCTATCTATCTATCTATCTATCTATCTATCTATCTATCTATCTATCTATCTATCTATCTATCTATCTATCTATCTATCTATCTATCTATCTATCTATCTATCTATCTATCTATCTATCTATCTATCTATCTATCTATCTATCTATCTATCTATCTATCTATCTATCTATCTATCTATCTATCTATCTATCTATCTATCTATCTATCTATCTATCTATCTATCTATCTATCTATCTATCTATCTATCTATCTATCTATCTATCTATCTATCTATCTATCTATCTATCTATCTATCTATCTATCTATCTATCTATCTATCTATCTATCTATCTATCTATCTATCTATCTATCTATCTATCTATCTATCTATCTATCTATCTATCTATCTATCTATCTATCTATCTATCTATCTATCTATCTATCTATCTATCTATCTATCTATCTATCTATCTATCTATCTATCTATCTATCTATCTATCTATCTATCTATCTATCTATCTATCTATCTATCTATCTATCTATCTATCTATCTATCTATCTATCTATCTATCTATCTATCTATCTATCTATCTATCTATCTATCTATCTATCTATCTATCTATCTATCTATCTATCTATCTATCTATCTATCTATCTATCTATCTATCTATCTATCTATCTATCTATCTATCTATCTATCTATCTATCTATCTATCTATCTATCTATCTATCTATCTATCTATCTATCTATCTATCTATCTATCTATCTATCTATCTATCTATCTATCTATCTATCTATCTATCTATCTATCTATCTATCTATCTATCTATCTATCTATCTATCTATCTATCTATCTATCTATCTATCTATCTATCTATCTATCTATCTATCTATCTATCTATCTATCTATCTATCTATCTATCTATCTATCTATCTATCTATCTATCTATCTATCTATCTATCTATCTATCTATCTATCTATCTATCTATCTATCTATCTATCTATCCACACATCTATCTATCTATCTATCTATCTATCTATCTATCCACACATCTATCTATCTATCTATCTATCTATCTATCTATCTATCTATCTATCTATCTATCTATCTATCTATCTATCCACACATCTATCTATCTATCTATCTATCTATCTATCTATCTATCTATCTATCTATCTATCTATCTATCTATCTATCTATCTATCTATCTATCTATCTATCTATCTATCTATCTATCTATCTATCTATCTATCTATCTATCTATCTATCTATCTATCTATCTATCTATCTATCTATCTATCTATCTATCTATCTATCTATCTATCTATCTATCTATCTATCTATCTATCTATCTATCTATCTATCTATCTATCTATCTATCTATCTATCTATCTATCTATCTATCTATCTATCTATCTATCTATCTATCTATCTATCTATCTATCTATCTATCTATCTATCTATCTATCTATCTATCTATCTATCTATCTATCTATCTATCTATCTATCTATCTATCTATCTATCCACACATCTATCTATCTATCTATCTATCTATCTATCTATCTATCTATCTATCTATCTATCTATCTATCTATCTATCTATCTATCTATCTATCTATCTATCTATCTATGTTTCTGCCTTTCTTTCTTTTTCTCTATCTTTCTTTCTTAGAGGAAGATTTCCTTCTTTTCCGAGAACAGAATATAAAATAATGTCAATCGTTTAAGCAATACACAATGATCTAATGTTTATATCTTCATTGAATTGTTTTAGGAAATTATAAAACAAAAACCTGATCGTAGTGAACTAGAAGGTTTGGGTGTACCAACAGAATTATATGAAAAACTATATAGTTTAGAAGCTATTGTTAAAGAGTTAGCCAAGGAAAGAGAAAAGGTAAATATGTATATAAATTAAGAAGTAATATAGACAATGCACATAGTAACGTGTGTCTCTGTGTGTGTGTGTGTACATTCCTATGTGTGTGTGTGTGTGTGTTTGTATATGTGTATATTAGTTCTGTGTGTCATTTCACATGTTTCAATGCACCGGTTTACTCTCATAATCAGTCAGCTAATTAATCACTTTTTATTGTTTCTATAACTTTCTCATATAATTCACCGGCTTACTAATCTAAATATATTTGGCAATTAGTTATTATTATGATTTACTTTTATCTTTAACCATCTACGTTTGTGATATGTATTTATTGTGCTTTTTTGACGGGGTTTGTTGAAGGTGGGTCGGTGTGTTTGGTTTATTGTGAGATAGTTTTGTTATTAAAATAATAAACATTGATATTATTTTTATAGCTGTATCAAAAATTACTTGCTTATGCCTGTTACTTCTCGTGGAGGAACATCGGCCGCTCACTAGCATTCTTCATCCAACTCTTTCTTGGACAATTCTTTCCAGTTGTTCCCAGTTACTATTCATCCTTTGCATGTCTGCTTCCGAATATCTGTAACAGCTTAGATTGATTGGTTAAGAGTTCACGTCAAACAACTAACTAACTAACTTACTTACTTACGCCTGTTACTTCTCGTGAAAGAGCATAGGCCGCTCACCAGCATTCACCATCCAATCCTGTCCTGGGCAATCCTTTCTAGCTCCTTTCAGTTGTTATTCATCCTTTTCATATCTGCTTCTATTATCCGACGCAATGTGTTCTTTGACCTTCCTCTTTTACGCTTCCCTTCAGGATTCCAAGTTAGGGCTTGTCTCGTGATACAGTTTGTTGATTTCTGAAATGCATCTCCGATTCACTTCCAGCGGACATATATTGTGGACTTCATCATGAGGCAATTGCTAACTTGAAATCCTGAATAGAAACGGAAAAGAGACATACTGCGTCTGGAATTTACTAATATCTAATTAACTGTACAAATTAACTAAACTGAATAATTTCATTATATGAATTTTATAATTATTCTAGACATTATCCTTTGTGAAATATATTGGGTATAATTTGAGAACAAGTAGGCTGATACAAACGAAAGTCTCAGAATTGAAGTACAATCAATTAAGATATATTCCTTTAGATCTATTGTAGAGTCAAAACCAACGAAGTTTGGATGTGTTTATAATGAAATACTTATCATCAGTGGTACTGGATGATCGTCTTGATTAGTTGAAGTTGGAAATATGTACCATTCGATTTTAATGGTTAAGTTTTCACCAGGAGAGCTAAAGATAGTGACCTCTATCTTCTACTGGGTTGTTAGTGTTTACTGTTAAAAAAGCTCCTATAAGTACAAAACTATTGCTCAATAATTCTTGATCTTTCAGTGGTATATTTTTTCAACTGAGATCGATTCCTGACGAATATCTTCTTACTTGAATAATTTTTTCTGGTTAGCGTTTTTTTTAGCGAGTTGGTTTTCTACGGGATGGTGTCACTAACCCCATGCCCAATCCTCCTCTTTTATCCAGGCTTGGGACCGGTAGTAGCTCTCGGAGGGACTCCAGGCGAAAATTAACCAGAATATTTCTTTAGGTTGCTAAAAACTTGATAATTTTAAAAGAAAACAATATAACCAACTTCCAGGTTGATTAATAAACGGACTGTTTAAAAACAATTTAAGATTGCACATAATAATAATCATCAATATGATGTGATAAACAGCTAATCATCAAATACAATCAAGTGTATTTCAATATTTAGTTAAATTGGTTTCAGTATAGAGTTGTGGAAATTATTAAGTTTTTGATTAAGATCCTGAACCGATTAATGTTAGGCCACCATTGAAAACCTGGAAGTACTGGATGGGCTTTCGTCCTATTATGAGACTCTTTAGAAGTGACCATCCGCAACCTCACATGCAGAACTCGAACCAAGGACATTCGGTTCCGTGCATGAACGCATAATATCTAGACCACTGAGCTAGCCGACATCCAATGATGTTAATGTCTATGTTCAATCGATCCATGATCTTTTGCAATCTTTCATCCATCGTCTAAAGTAGATAAATGTCTCCATCTACCTTAGATCGACTCTTGAATTCAGCTATTAAAGTTATTACAGTCTTCACTAATTTTCATTCAGATTTTGGGGGGAGAGGATATACAAGCTGAAACATTTCAGATGAAATTACATTCTTATTCATCAATAATTACTGAACTACAAGCCCTCAAATGCCCTGGTACGGCCGAGAGTGGATAGAGTTAGCTCTCCTTCTCGAAATATTCTCAATTGTCCACGTGCATATAACCACTGCTAGGGAAGTCCTACTGGCTACCTTCTCGTGGTGGTGGTGTTGTTTACGAAATTGAAAAGACGCTTTAAGCGTGTTGGTGGATATAAAGGATCCACTTAAGAGAGTTGGAAAACCCTGATTCCAAACCAATGGTGTACATGGGCTCCAGTATGCCGAAGAAACAAATGACGTATGAACCTACTGTTGGTCACCGGTTACCATATGACTTCATCTCCTTACGTTGTTTCAATGCCTTGTGGATCAGACTTTCAGATCAGAGGCTCCGGATGTGACTTCCTAAGAAAACCATCTGTTTTGATTTGGGCACCCGAGTAATATTTCAACCCTCACACAAATCGAATGATTTATGTGGCACATATCTATTTGATGCCTCCTTTTACCAATCTTTATGTGTTTAATTCAATAAAATCATAAACTGAACTACAATTGTGTAAATTTAGTGAAGTGATTGTTTGTTTGTTTGTTTTTTATACAAAAAAAAAAGAAAAACTTTTAAATCGTTGAATATTGAATTTCACTTTCCATGATCCATTACAGGCTACATGGATTTATTACTTATAATCACAATTCAGTAATGTGTATTTGAAATGTCATTTATCTTGTTCATGTGTATAGTTGGGTTTTCATTTTGTTTCACTGAGTGTGTTTTATTTTATTGAAATTAGTCATTGCAGTGAGCTGAGTTAGTTTTTTGTTTGTTTGCTCTTTTGTTGTTGAAAAATTCTTCTGTTTGTTGAACTACTACTAACGCACAGATTTTTAGTAGTATGATATATGTCAGTTTGATTTATTGTTGGTTGATTATTATTGATAACAATCAATTGGTAATTTAATTTGCTTTTTCTTCGTCGTCTTCTTCCTCTTTGAAGATTTATGTGGATTGTGGAACATCGCCTCATATGCCTTATCCGTCTGATGTAAGTTTAGATAAAACTTATTATTGCCACGTTCTTCTAATATGTAGTAATTATTGAATGATACAATTTACTCATTGTTATAAATTGTAGCCCTGTTGTCCTATGAATATCTAATGTAATGATACAGGCAATTGGTGAACAATGAATTATCGTCCGGACCAATGACGCATAAAACAAGTACGAACAGTCTAGAGTCCTTATCGGTCCTGCTTCCTGATTAGCCCAGTGCAGAATACCAATCTCAGCCTCTGCAATATAAATCATGTATTTCAAACATACTGACTTTATATACCAATCAAACAGACCACATCGTACCATAAAATGTGAAACAACATTTGTACGAGAATTGGCCAAAAGTGGCTGTGAATGTGGAAGGTATTGATTAATAGACAGGGCATAATTCAAGAATGGTAAATCGTTTAGTAATAGTTCATAGGCCAACATAAGGCTTATAATAAAGGGGACATGAATATGAATTGTTTAGTTATTTAACAATTATACAATAAAAATATACGTTTAGTATTGGTCTATAAATAGATCCTAACAGTTACCATTCATTATTCTAATCGGGATATAACATCCATCTCTTCCCAAATCACAACAACCACTGGAAGACCACAAGAGATATTTCACAACAAAAATGCACTACTAAAAACCTAGCCTTGTTATACAGAATTTTTATAGGAATTTTCCACAATCTTCTCTATTTATCCACTGGCGTCGATTGATCGGTCAGAGTGTACCGATTTGAATCTGGCTTCAGTATGTATTAACTAAGAGTTAATTCTGCTAACAGATTTAATAACTTAATTTCAGTTAAGTACAAGTAAACACTGAGAAGATTTTAACATAATAACTGATCTCAATTTGTTTGAGGCAATCATTAAAAAAGTCTTACTTCATTTGTATTTTATCCTTGTTTGACCTGACTAAATTTTTTCTTCGCTATGACTTATAACATGTGTCAACAAGGAATATTCATGGTATAAGTCCTGAATAGTATAAACTGTAAGTTCTACTTTCCACTACTAATTATAACTCATCATAATTAAAATGACTATCGAATTCAAACGCTTAAGGATTCACATATATCATCAGATGTTGATTAAGATCATAAAATCGATCGATAATTGATCACTATTGAGAAACTGAAATTATTGAACAATCATTTCATCTTAATTTAAGATGGTTTCATAGACGGCACTTGTTATCCAAGATCTTTGATCTTGTACTTCTCACAGTTATTCTTTAAAGTTTGTTGATTATTCAGAAGGTACAATATTCCATTTTATCATTTCGGATCATTTTTTTTTTTGTAAATCTCTTTAACTTACATTAAAATAGGATAAGAAATTATTGAAAAAACTACAAAATACCATGTCAGTATTACAAGAACAAATTAATCAATTGAATAATACTGTTACTAATGTACAAGCACAATTTAAAAAACTTCATGAAACTGTTGAGGTGAGATATTCGTTTATTAATAATTAAGGGATATGTATACAATTTGTTTTGTTTTACTTTACGACTGTGAAATGTGGTCATTAAGAGTTGAAGATAGTCGTAAGCTATTGGTACTTGACTAATCGATATCTTAGAAACGTTGTCGGCATCTGCTGGGATCATCGGGTGAGTAGTAGCGAGGTTAGATGCAGGGTATTAAGGAACGATGGTAAATCAATTGATGAGGTTGTGAATCTTTATTGACTGAGATGGTTGGGCCACATGTTATGTATGCCTGAACACCGAATACCACGACGCGCTATGCTGATTAGTGTTGGGTATGGTTGGAAGAATGTTAGGGGTGGCCAAACCAAAACTTGGTATCAGTGCTTGAAGTCACTAACTTCTAGTCTGAACCATGTTGGTAGATGCAAACTACTTGGTTGGGGTCCGCGTGACTATCGTAACCAATGGTTAGAGACTCTTGGTGACATGGCTGAGAATCGACCAGAATGGTGTAAGTGTATACACTTTCTTTCTTCGCTTAAGCCATGAGATTAAAATCACTTCATCTTTCTTTCTACGAACTAATTCTTTCTTCCTGTATTATATCCTTATATGCAGTCTTTCTTTTATACATTACCATCATTGAATTAACAACTTCTATGAATCCGATGTTCATGTAGTTGTGCTAACTAGGTATAGTAACTTAGACCGATGTATGTATGTGCCTGGTCCTACATTGTAACTGACTGACTGACTCTCCATGAGTAATTGCTTAAAAGCCATGACGCCCTTTATAATTGTCTGGTATTATTTCATAACTTCACAGCAATAGTCAACCCCAATATATTCAAATAGAACTGAATTCAAGAAGTTTCAATTTCAATAAATTCATGTCCTAGTGAGTTCTAGTGGGAATCCGTGTTAGAACGAGACAGCTATCTATCTCAGACAATGGATGAATGGTTTCGATTCAAGTTAGGCATTAACTTCGTTTGATGCAGGCTCAGTACTTTAAAGGTTAAATAATCATATATGAGACCGAAGGTCCAGCACTCAAAATCGTGAAGATGCACTGATGAGGAATCCCATAGTAGGACGAAACGATCGTCCAGTACTTTCAGGCTTTCAGTAGTAGTCTAGTGTAAACTGCTTCTTGAATCCAACTTTTAACATTCATGTTTCTTTGATAAATGAGGTTATATGTTGACCTTTTATTATAATCAACACACACTAGTAAAGATGTACGGTTTCTTGAGCTTTCTGACATTTGAGAGAGTATATGTGAGAAAATGAGAGGCAGTTGAAGAACCTTAGTTCTGAGAGTGTCTATTAAAGTTTCAAATATTGGAAACGGATATGCGACAAGCATATTTATACAAATCGATTATATCTTAAAATTTCTCTGATCTTTATATCTAAAAGTTTATAAATTTTTCTCTAATCTTTGCTTACGTATTTCTCTGACAGCCTATGTATTTCATGAAGAATCTATCCTAAATGATCAAAGGTTAATAATAATTCGAAACTTGGATTTTGTGCTAGCTGTTACAGTCTAGTTGAAAGAATGCTAAGAGCGCTCAAACCTAAACATAGCATCAGTTCACTGTTAGTCTAAGTCAGACTAAATGATATAGAAATACATTAATGAGGTCAGTGTGATAACTGCGATCAGTGACTGAAGACATTGTTAGTTATGCTTTAAAACTAGTCAGAATGACAAATATATATTCATTCTTTAGCCTACTGAAGATTTTAAGTTTTAGTATTCCTTCATGTTATTGTGGTCCGACAACTTGATCTGATGTACATTTGTACAAAGCTCTACATTGATTAAAACGGATTAACTTAAGGAATCGATGTTCACTCTGTGTGTGTATGTGTATAATCCAAATCTGCGTTAAAAATATTATTCGCCAATAATTATCTTGTACACTTGAACTATTTAACTGAGATTGACAATCCTTATAATTTTCTATTGTTATTGTTCACTTGGTATTGTTTACTTTAATCTTTCAATTGTTGCTTAAGACTGAAATTGACCAGTCTCTTTTTGATATATATGCATCCTGTGCGGACAGCCTTGATATTACCTTCACCCACAAGCGTTCTAAGCAGAGATGGATAGTGACTAGCATTGAAATCCACGATGCGCGTTTCGTCTTATTTGGGACTCGTCAGTTGGGTGTACCTGTATCCCAGAACTGATGTTTATTCAGTAGCTAAGTGGATAATATGATGGCATCTGAAGCGAATGGTACTGAGTTCCAGCCCCAGAGTGAACATCAAATCTATGATGCAGGTACATACAGCTGACATGTCTCGAATAGGGCGAGACGCCCCTCCTGGATTCCACTGCTAGCCACTATCCATCCTTGTTTATTTTTATTATTATTTAACTTGGTGCTAAATAATTGACGAAAAATGAATCCCTCAATAAATTAAATACTGATACATGTTGTTTTTCATATTTAAATGATAAAATCTTAGGATGTTAAACAGTATGCAGATGATTTGGAAACGCGTAAAGCAGATGCAAATTATGTTGACACACAATTAGACAAGGTTAGTTGAGTAAAATGTTTTTTGTTTGAAAAATAAGCTAATTCATTTCAATATTATCTTCACGACCAAAATCACGAACCGACATTAGCTAGACCACTATCAAAACGCTAGAAGCACTCAACGGCTGTTTTTTTCTCTTACAAGACTTCTCAGCAGTGTGTATACATGATCCTGCATGCGGAATCCACTGGTTGGATGCCGACTCAATAGTTTAGAGGTTGAATGTTTGTGCGCGAGATCGTGAGTGTACACTGTTGAGGAGTTTCATACTAAGGTGAAACTGCCATCTAATACTTCCAGGTATTCAGTGGTGGTAAAGATAAGAGCAGTTTGTGATGTCAATTTTGAAAATACTACAATCATTTCAAATTCCACGTACTGAAACGTTTATTTATTTAAACAGACAGTTTAAAGGAGGTTCGTTTAGTCTGAAGTTGATTAGTTAATCAATGATCACATTACTATGAAATAAGGAAACATAAAACAATAGTTGTTAAGTGGTTCGTTGTTTGTAGTCCTTTTTACCAATCGAAAAGCTTATAAATTATAAGTAGTTGTATCTTTCCGTTGATATATTAAGAATTCTGACTGATCAATCACTTCTAGAATATATGCATACTGGGCGGATTCCCTCAATATTTCTATTTATACACAAGTTTCCAATAAGGTTGGATAATCCCTAGCAATAAAATTCAAGGAGTGGGTTTCATCCTATCTGAGACTCATCAGCTGCACGTACCTGTACCCGTGTTGGTAACTGCATTCAGACTCAGATTCAGTAACTTTTCCTTCTAATCCGTAATGCGTTATCTTAACCAAGTTTAAGTCCCCTTCATATATTCTGTCCTTAGTTACTATCTGTCTTTTTTTAAAGTATGCTTTAATGAAACGTAATTCCCATTGAATTAACGAAATATTGAGACAATATTTAACAAAACTCATTATGTTAACACTTTGTCCATAAAATCGTTTTTCAAACGAACTGGTTGATTACTTATGAGTAGTTTATATTTTATGACTTCATTTTCTAATAACTTTATGACTTGCCCTCGACTAAAATGTACTTTGTTACTTTAATATTTTAACTCTGAATCTATGAATCTCATTTAAACACTTACTTGGTTTAAGCTTCTGAAAAATTCATAGAGATTAAGATGTTCGGAATGTGTTCCTGGAGATTCTTAATGAAATAATGTTTTGGCACTGACTAAGAGGTGAGTCTTAGAGTATCTGAACCAAAATCTAACTGGATCTACAAAGTTAGACATTAACATTTTTGGATGCCGGCTCAGTAACCTAAAGGTTAAGCGTCCACATACATGACCGAAGATGTTGGGTTTGAATCCAGGGTGGGGGTCTTTGGTGCAGACTGATGAAGAGCCCCAAAAACTAGGATGAAATGACCGTTCAATTCTCCCAGATTTTTAATGGTGGTCTTACATTGATCAGTTCATGATTATGATAATATTCATTTATTTGTATTCCTAGTGAAACTTCAGTGAGATATTGTACTCAGCTAGATTTTTATTAAAGTTGAATAACGACTATAAGCAGAATTTAGACTTTTGTTTAATTTTATTTGAGACTCGTCACCTAAATGCACTGAAACCGGTGTCGATTTTTTCAGATTGAGGTTAGAACCCAGTGTCTCCTTCTTTAAATAATGATACATTACCTACTGAGATTCTGGATCAAGACAGTCATCAGATTGTGCTACGTGTGTGAATTTTATATTTCGGGGTTTGTATTATAATTTTTGTTTCACAGTCTGTTGGCTATATTGGTTAATTAGCTCAGTGAATAATTTGTAGATGTTTGTAGTGAAAGGTATTGGTTTCAAGTTCAAATGTGAACATCAACACTGGAATGTAGGAACGCTGTCGGATGTGAGGATGGTACACACCGTGAACATTAGTAGATAGTCAGATTGATTAAAGTTAGACTTTTACAACATTGTATATAGACTCACCAGTCGAGCGGATAAATGTTCGCACACCAATTCGAAGATCCTAGGTTCTGTTACAAGTCAATTTTCACTTTGTTCTCACAACAATAATATCCATATCCTGACTTGATAATAGTCAGAAATATACTGAAAGATTACTGTTTGTTTGTAGAAATATAAATTCTTGACTAAAGATCACTGAGGTGTTTCAATCTGTTCAGTGCTATTCATTACCCAGTAATGGTAAAACCTAACTTGAAGTTGTAAATAATCTCTCTAAACTACCTGATTGAGATCATTGTTAGGAAATGATTAAATGACTTCTCAGAATTAGATATTCTCCATTCTATCCTAAAAAAGAAAACAAATCAATAATGAAGAATATCCCCTATCAATGACATATTGAACTTACGAGGTCTTTTCCAGTTCATTTCAACTAAACAATCAATGGTGACGTCTTTATCATGAAAACAATGAGTAACATCTTGATTACAATTATATCACATAAGATTATTATTGTACACTACTCGGTTTACATACTTACTTTACATACGCCCGTTATTCCCAATAGAGCATAGGCTGCCGACCAGCATTCTCCAACCCACTCTGTCCTCGACCTTCTTTTCTAGTTCCATCCAATTCTTGTTCATTTTTCTCATGTCTATTTCCATTTCTCGACGTAATGCGTTCTTTGGTCTTCCTCTTGTTCTTTGGCTTCGAGGATTCCATGTGAGAGCTTGCCTTGTGACGCAGTTTGGTGCATTCCTCAATGTGTGTCTTATCCACTTCCAGTGCTTCTTCCTGATTTCTTCCTCCACTGAGATCTGGTTTGTTCTCTCCCACAGTAAGTTGTTGCTGATAGTGTCTGGCCTGCAGACCTGAAGTATTTTGCGTAGATAGCTATTAATAAACGCTTTAATCTTCTGGATGATTGCTTTCGCAGTTCTCCACGTTTTCGTCTCGTATACCACTAAGAAAGTGCCCTAATTTAACCTGGTACAGTTTTTAAAATCTAGTGAATTCTAAAATTAATTTCAATAATCTGTATTGAATGAGAACTTAGGTAGGGACAACCAATCTGTTATTCCATACTGAAAAAAACTCTGATATAATAAGATAATGGTTGGAGGTAGTCAATAGGAAACCTGGGACCTGGATTTTATGCTATTTGGCACTCTTCAGCAAGGTGTACCTGTAATCTTGAGGAAACTGATACTTCCTAACGGATCCGATCTCGTGTCACCCAGCTTCACAGTCAAAGATCTTATCATCACTGAGCTATCCAGGCTATCGCTGACGTCGATCTGCACTAAGAAAGACCTGATGCATATGACATTGATCATTACCCAATAATCAATCATTTGTGAACAGTGACATAATTCCCACTCGTTTATTTATGCATAAATTTATCAAACTAAACAGATGAGATAAACTATGTAAATCAGAATGGGTTTTGTGGAGAGTTTTAGAAATTTCACAGGTTGAAATCATGAATCATTTGAAGCTAGACCACCAATGAAGACCTGGAAGCACTGGACGGCCGTTTCGTCCTGGTATGGGACTCCTCAGCAGTGCGCATTCACGATCCCACACTATGCAATCTTTCTTTTATATATTACTACCGTTGAAGTAACTACCTCTATGAATCTGGTGTTCGTGTAGTTGTGCTAACTAGGTATGGCAACTTGGAGCGATGCACATATGTGCCTGGTTCTACATTTTAGCTGACTGATTGACTAGTAGAGAAGATTTATAGCTCAGGTGGATGATTTTGATAAAGTTTTTTTCTTCTATCTGGATGGTTTATTCGTGGAACTTTCATCATTCTTCTAAACGATATCATCAGGTGCTTGAATTTTGTTCCTACAATGACCAAACCATCCAGTTCATAGAACAAAACTTCATCAAAAAACAACTATATTCTTTCTCTTTTTAATGTATCACATTAACTCGACCCTCAAATACTGTGAAATTATTCAATCTAATTTAGACGAAAGTTCTTAATTGGTTCCCTCTTTCATAGCCAAGATATTGATTAGGGAATATTAAGTGATCATATCTACAAAGTATTGATTATAAGTAATAAAATTCCTTAGTCTATCTATCATTAACAAATATATACGTACGCACGCACACACATACAATGTGCACTACATACATACACACACACACACTTAAACATACATATACATTCCTTATATATCCATGCCTATATGTCAACATGTTAAAAAGAATGCAATAGGTTGTCAAATTACCAACTGTAAACAATGACACTATGTGATCAATTATTCAGGGTCTCGTTTAAAATAAACAAAAAAATTCTGATTACGTAATAGTATTGTTATTAACACCGTTGGATGCCGACCAGCTGAGTGGTCTAGAGGTTAAACATTAGTGCGTGAGACGGATAGGTTTTGGGCTCGAATCTTGGGAGGTGGGATTATGAATACGCACTTCTGAGGAGTCCTACAATTGGACGAAACAGTCATCCAATACTTCTAGATCTAACATCGATCGATTCGTGATCTCAATCAAAAATTTAATAATCTCCACAACCCTATACTAATGATTACCATGTGCTCACTAGTGACTAGCTTCGTGAGGGAATTCTCAGAGTTCTAGTGAGAAGCCGTGACCAGTGGAGTTAATCCGTGTCAAGTAGCGATAAGTATGTGAGGACAGTCCACGGATGAATTTGAGGAAGCTCTAAGAAGCTTAGAAAGAGCCGAATATATTCAATTCAATCATCTTTTGGAAGAATATTTCAGAATCACTACGTATAGCTTCCCTATTGTACAAATGCTTATGAGGATTGATTAACTATAATGATGATTTCGTTTTCACTAAAAACTATAAATACCTAACAGTTTTGTATCATAATTGACACTGTTTGGAATAGCATTCCTTTTACATGTCTTCTGTCTTTTCATTTGCTCCTTGGGAGAGTTCCAGCGTCCGTGTGCTCAAATTATACGCGGTATATTAAGAATCTAAGCTCTAGATATAACATTATCTATCGATCCACATATTTATCCATCTATTTAAGCGCTCGTGCGCGACCCATAGGGATTGGGTTCGAATCTCACTAGGCGAGATCATAAATACACACTTCTGAGGAGTCTCACAATTGGACGAAACAGCCATCTAACACTTCTAGATCTCAATCAAGTAAAAAGAAAGAAATGCTTGTGTTTTTTTTGTATCTTCTCAATTTTTTCTACATAAATGAATGATATAATTACATAATGTATATAATATAAAACTAATTAATTCAATAAATTCAAATAAACCAATAACAGAGATCCCAATCCATAGACCCATATTACCACCAATATCCGATAATAATTGTGCTAATGAATATTCTTGTTCTTCCCTTACTAATTTACCTTGTGGTCTATTACGTTCTATAATTAATAAACCAAAATTATTACGCATTTCTAATAAAATTTGTTGAGTTGTTAATTTCTCATTATTATAAGTAGTATTATCAGTAGTATTATTATAAGTAGTATTATAAGTAGTATTATTATAAGTAGTAGTATTGTTAATAAATACATCACGAAATGTACGAATTAAAAATGTGGCTCTTGCATCATTATATGTATTACTCCATAATTCATTCATAATAATACGATGTATACCAAAATTTTGATAATAAACATGATCACAATATGGTAAATGATGTAAAAGATCACATTGTTTCGCTTCAATTAAATTCATATATAAACTAAGATTAGTGTATTTTTGATAGACACGATACATACAATTCACATTATCAATTAATTGATTCTTATTATATAATGACATATTTAAACATAAAGCTGGATGATGATATTCCATTGTTTTATTATGATTATTATTATTAATGATGGGTATGTTACCATAGTAACCATAAGGTAAGAAAGGACTATAACAATGACATTCATTTAAATATAAATATTGTGATAATATACGATGACATAATTCATTGGAACCATAGATTAAACGTTTATGAATTAAATCACCATCATAGATGATTGTTGAAAATTTGTTCTCATTACATAATGATTGATGTTGGTGTTGATGTTCATGATGGTGCTCGTGATGATGATGATGATGATGGTGCGAATAGTGGTGTTTGATACGTTTTATACGTAACATTTCTAATTTAATATGATTTATATAACCAGGTATTAATTCAATGGAATTCATATTAGGGAAATGATTTGGTAATGTGATATATAAATCAATCATATGAGATGTATAAGATGAATTAATAATTAAATAACTTTGATAATTAAATTTAATACCAAAAGCAAGTTTTTCTATATGATGATAATTGGTTTTATTTAAATGACGTGAAATCTGTAAGAAGAAGAAGAAGAATAAACAGAAAGAAAGATAAAAACATAAATGAACACCGGTTAAGGTTAGTGGTTTGTGTACGAGACCAACAGGTTCTGGGTTCGAATCCAGTGGACAGGATCGTGGATGTGCACTGATGAGGAGAACCATACTAGGAATGAAATGACTGTTCAATGCTTCCAGGTTTTCCATAGTGGCCTAGCTTTAATTGACTCATGAATTTAACTATTACTATTTATATATTATGGATTGATTGAAGTTAAACACCAACACTGTTGTGTGCCAGCCAGCTCAGTGGCCTAGAGGTTGAGCGTAGGCGCGTAAGAATGAATGGTCCTGAGTTCGAGTCCCGCTTGTGTGGTCGTGAATGCATACCAATGAGGAATCTAGTGCTGGGACGAAACGGTTGTTCAGTACTTCCGTATTTTCCATAGTGGTCTATTTTTAATTGACTCATGAACTCAACTATTAAAATATATATGTATATGTATCGATGAATTTATATATGAACGTGGTTGGATGCCGACCAGCTTAGTGGTTTAGAGGTTAAACGTTTGTGTGTGAGACCAATGGCTCCTGGGTTCGAATCCTGTGAGGCGGGATCGTAGATGTGCACTGATGAAGATTACAATATTGGGACGAAACGGCCGTTCTGTATTTTCAGGTTTTTCATAGTGGTCTATCTTTAATTGACTCATGAATTCAACTATTAAAATAGAAATATATATTTGTATGGTTAAACATTTTTCTACAAAATCATATACATAACGACATTAATTTTTGTGAACAAGCTAGAGATAACCATGAATTCACAAAGTTATTCACTGTGAATCCAAGTTATACAGATAGATCTCAGTTATCTAGTTTACGATCAGTAGGATAATTAAAAACAATGGTCTGAGACTTTAGATGATATAACTGTGAACCATTTGAAATGGTATATATGTACATGTAATAAACAAATATACAGATGCGGGTAACCAATAGTATCTAAATACAAAATTATAGAGTTCTTTCATCAAATGTAAACACCATACGTTCAATACATCATTTTCAAATTCCCTTACAATTGTCTGAATATTCATCCTTCTTTCATTACCATAATAATAATTACTCTTTGTTTCCGTTCTCCTCGATTCTCTCTTTCCAACATATTCTAGGACTAAATATTGCGCTTCTCATTAGTGTTATATACTACTTATGTAGACATAAGTGGTATACTATCTATCTATCTTACGCCTGTTACTCTTAATGGAGCATAGGCTGCCGACCAGCATTCTCCAGCATACTCAGTCCCAGGCCTACTTTTCTAGTTCCATCCAATTCTTGTTCATTTTTCTCATGTCTATCTCCATTTCTCGACGTAATGTGTTCTTTGGTCTTCCTCTTGTCCTTTGGCCTTGAACATTCCATGTGAGAGCTTGCCTTGTGACGCAGTTCGGTGCTTTCCTCAATGTGTGTCCTATCCACTTCCAGTGCTTCTTCCTGATTTCTTCCTCCGCTGGGATCTGGTTTGTTCTTTCCCACAGTTGATTGTTGCTAATAGTGTCTGGCCAACGGATCCGAAGTATTTTGCGTAGACAAATAAGTAGCATACACTATATACTTATTACATTGACTCTGTCTTATTTCAATAGACATACAGTGTTTGAATATATATGTATATATCAGCTGTTTAAACATTAGATTTTATGTGGAGATATGTTTATCAATCAGTGGATTTCAATCATTTCCATCTAATTCGTTATGAACATTGATAGATTTGATCTTCTTCAAGATGAAGGTTGTCTATGTATGTAGAAGACTTCAATAAATCGGTTAGATATACATTAATTAGTGTAATGAACAAGAAAACAAGTGGGAACAATTGAATGTAGTCGAACATGAAATTACCGAACATCTCACTTAAATCTTAGAATCATACAGTAACTACTTCATTTGCAATATATCGATCCATTGTCTCAAACTTGATAGTTTCTTTTGCAAATATTAGTGAGTTGTATCAGATTTCATTGTTTCTGAATTGTCATATCAATTGCTTTCTACTCCCATTCTTTCCTTCTCGATCTTCTACTGAAATACATTCTATTCCCGACCATCGTTATATACTACTTATGTGGATATAAGTAGCTCACATCACAGTGGTAGTAGTTAAAAACAATCAAATTAATGAATACAAAGTTTATTTACATTTATCTGTCTGCAGTATTAATAACTTAAATACAGTGAAATAATTGTCATGTGCTGATTAGTGACCAGCGTTGAGAAGTTCTTCTTAGAGTTCTTGTGAGAAGCTGTGATCAATTGAGTTCATCTGTGTTCGAGTGTGAGGCAGTTACTTAACGAAGACAATTTAAGATGGTCGCGTAATAGCGTGGATTGTTTGAAGTGAGATATTAACATTGTTAGATGGTGGCTTAATGATCTAGAGGTTAAGAATTCTCACACGAGACTGACGGCCTTGGGTTCGAGTCCCATGTGAGAGATTGTGAATGCTTACACCTGAGAAGCCCCATACTAGAACGAAATAACTATCCAGGTTTCCAATCGTTGTCTTACATTGATCACTTTATGACCACAATGAATGTGTAATTTAGATTATTATTTCTCATAAGTCACTCAAAGCTTTCTAGACAATCTGGATCTTATTATCCTGCATCGTTTGTTGAGCAACTGTTTTAGATGTGTAAATTGTAACTGAATTTAATCGAAAGGTAATAACAATTCGAATTGAATCACATTAGTTATCGAATAAGACTTGATCTAATCAAGATCATAATTATATGGTTGAATTCATGAGTCAATTAAAGATAGACCACCATGGAAAATCTGGAGACATCGGACGGCTGTTTCGTCCTATTATGAAATTTCTCAACAGTTAACATCAACAATCCCTCCCGCGGGATTCAAACCCAGGAGGACTTATCGGTTCTGATTATTCACAAAAATGTACTGCAATGTGTTCATTATTACAGCTAATATGATTCAAAATTCAAGCTTTTAATAAAAAGTAATTCACTTCAAGTTTTAAATTGACTTTGGTTATCTTCAAAAAGAATTAATAGTTTAATACGAAAGTTTTTAATATGCAAACTTATGCATATACCTACACACACACACACACACATGATTGAACATTTGGCCAATTGAACGTCCTACTGAATCAGTGTAACTTTTTGCTTAAACTTCCCACCCACCCCCCTCGCCTATATATTAGTACTAATTTTGTAGTTCCCAAGAGAAATTAAAATGTATTGTACCGTTATACAAAAGTTTTAATATACCATTTAAAACTTGCCTTTAGTGGCGTACTTGACTTTCTATTTTTGAAATGATCAATACTTGGCTAGATTGAATTTGTGTTTGTGTGTGTGTGTGTGTGTGTGTGAAGAAGTGGAACTCAAATCGAAGAAAGTGAAAGGTTGGGAATTAACGAAATGATTAGTAAATAAAAGTAAGATACTGTTGTTTGTAGTCGAATGAATGAGTAGCTTAGAGTTTATTTTGCTCTGAGCCTCGTCGCTAATGTATATTAATAGAAATAATAATAAGAAACATGAAATAACTTGTAACTAATGAAGAATATCAAGATATTTTCGACCAAAGAGGTTGTAACCCTGACAACATCTGATCATATTCAGCAATGAGTATGTCAACAACGGAAAAATATAAATCTTGATAAATAGGAATGATTATGCTCTCTGCATTACTTTATCTCTATTAAACCTAGTCAATGGAAGTAAAAGTTACGGATAGGCTACAGGTTACCGACTATAGGTAAATTAAAAATATTTCTTATTTCTTATGGGATGATTGAATGAGCAATGGTGAGGTTAGATATAATGGTACTAAACCAAAATGACAAATCGGTCGATTAGGGAGTGATGGGTATCCATCGACTAACATGGTAGGGACATGTGTTACGCATTTGTAACCAGTGTTTAACACAACTGTCGATGTTAGCTAGTGTAGAATTAAGTTGGAAAAAAGTAAGATATGGCATCAGTTTATGAAATTGTTGACTATTAGACTGGACCATGTTTGGTCCTCATGTTCATCGTAACCAGTGCCTGAAGATATTGAGGCGTACAATGCATGTGCGTTTCGTCCTACTCGGGATGCGTCAGGTGGATGTACCTACATCTCTGAGTTGATATCCACTCCGGGACTCGAAACCAGTACCATTCGTTTCAAACGCCATCATGTTATCCACTTGGCTATTGAGTGAATATCAACTCTGAGATGCAGGTATATCCAATTGACGAGTCCCAAATAGGACGAACCGCGTGTCCTAGATTCTACTGCCAGCTACTTTCCATCAATGCTTATAATATATGTGACTTAAAGTAATATCGAGGTAGTTGGCATGGATACACATATACTAACAAGAGACTGATCAACTGTTAAATTTTGATAAAAAATTGGCCAATAACAAGATTTGATTTCGTTCAACGGATCAATATATATATACCCTTGGAATGATGATATTGTTTGTATTCACTAAATACATAAATTCTTTACACAGACTATTATGAATAACAGATTATTTTTT